ATCATGTATGGTTGCCTTGAAGCTGCCGCAGTAAGTCACGTGCTAGAAAACCATAAAGGGAGTTGAGTACCTGAGTAAGTGGGTACGAGGCCTATAGGTAGCTGCAATTTATATGGTTACTCAAACCACAATACATTGTGCCACTTACCGGATTCCGCGCGTTTATTGTGACTAAGAGTTTGGATCACTATATATTCTACCGTTCCACAAGTTCCCGGACACCGCCCAAGCAGGACATATACACTAGTGTCAGGGAACACTCATGGAATGGAAAGGAAGTATATTAATGAGGCTGGCTTATATATCAGTTAAGTATATAACTTGTTACTGCTTGTTGCCTGTGGCCGTCGTATATAGCCTGTACCTAAAGTGCTTATATGATCTCCTGATCATGCACAGCCTGCTGGCGCGCCACGGATGACATGATCCGAAGAAATCGGGGTGTGCGTTTATAAGGTTAGTTGAACTACCGATATCAAATAATCCCAGATATTGTCGACAGAACCTACATTTCGATATATAAAAATGTAGGGCGATCTGGCAAGAGCAAGAATTCCCAGAAATACGCATGATTCAATTGTAGGCGTTCGTCTTGAGCTAGCTACTTGTGATGTACTGACCAATTTCGAGCTATGTCAAGTCATTATAGTATACATCATAAGTTACCATTGGCATTTCCCGTACATGAACTGAACAGGGAGGAGCGCTTCAGCCTGGTGTCCAGCGCTGGACAAATTGGATGTACTTATAGTTAAAAGCATCAGGATCCAGAGCTGCAGAGTATACTCAGGCCCAGGAGAACCGACCTTCCAATTGAGACATTGCCAATAATACTCTCCAATAATACCTAAGATACAGATAAATGAATCGCACGAAACACTTCATGCCTCAACTTGATATTCCAAAGTTCCAACTCTTGCGAATGCGCGTGTGAGTGATGGGATGGCAGTATTGCATTCTTTTGGACTGCAGATGAGCGGCCAGGCCACTCGCCTTGCCGAGCTCGTGTTCTTCAGCCTAATTATGACACAATTGCAAGCATTGTCTTGAGTATATGACAATTCGAACTCACAAGTTAGCCATATTTTTCCACACCTTTCAATATTCTGGTGTGGCGCACTCGAGTGCCCACGTTCTCATGTCCAACGGCTTCTGCCGCCTCATGTTGTTTACAAGGTGGTGCACATGATTAAGCAAATGCGTGAGACAGCCTTACATTCACATTGGAGGTGTATTAGGGCGCAATTGGTGGCACTCATCCCAAAAAGCCACAAGCATTATCCTGAAGTCTCCTACACCCATCTGGTTATTTGAAAGAAAAAAATGCCTACCTCCCATGCCTACATATATATTCCACTCGACCTGATATTGCCACGATGCATGTAGATGCGCAACTGGGTATCAACCTGTCTACCTAAAAGAAAAGCAATCATAGCCACAAAAAACGTTGTCTGTACATGGCGGTCTGCGTTTATGACTGGGGAACCCCCACGCCCTCTTTATCCTAGGTAGGCCTGTCGTAGCTTTTCGACACAACGTGCAAAGATAACGTTTGCTGATTGGCCAATAAATCTTAGCGCAGGTACTCTTTGCAGTCAGGTTTCGAGATTGATACGATATATATGATTTGCACAAGTATCATAGAATATCCAGAATTCCAGACCAGGCTGCTCGGTTTTTGTTTTGATCAAATTGTATCAATTGGGGGCCACTCACCTCGGCCGCCCCTCCGCCCCTATTAAGAACCAATAAGGCCACCCACGTGGAAACTTTATTAGGGGGGCACTATTCTTCGATCGTGGCCTTCCGAAGCTTGTGAGCGCGCCCATTTTATTCCTCGCTTCGGATTCATGCGCTACATAGATACATCAGTCGACTCACCATTGGGGTAATATGGCAAACCTCTGCTATCTAACTTTTGCGGAGGCTCCTCCGCAACATACATCTGCGTCTACGTAGCAGCTGAATATCCAGCCTGCTATGCTTCCTTGTCAAATTCCAGTACCTATCAAGAGCGAAATCTAACGAATAGCATAACACTGCCACCTGTTAGTTATAAGAACTGGCAAAGAACCTGTCAACGACGGTAACGCCCAGATTCTCGACACTATTTATTTTCCACCAGAGTGATAGCGCAATTACTTTTCATCATCGAGCTCGGAACAACAAGAGTCTTAACCGTACCCAAAAGCCCAGCGCACGATGGTCAGACTGGTCGCAGAAAGCAAAGCAATATGGAATGCGTATTCGGCAATGGAGCGTCGTAATATCGCAATTTACGTTGTCGGAATTATGTTTTACAAGCTCGGCTTGGAAGCTTTCAATGGGTCTATCGTGACCTTGGCGACGGATAGGTTTAAAGCTACCAATGCTTTTGAAAAGCTAGGAGTCTTGCAAGGGCTTAATCAAGCATTTCAGGTATGCAGTTCTATTCCAGCTCTCACACATTTACCTCCCTGGCATTCGCAATATTTTAAACCTTCCAAGAGTTCTGACATGCAGCTGGACCTACCTTAGTGTGTGGGTGCAATCCTCATTGCACCACTGATCAAGAGATGGCCCACACGCACTGTCCTTGCTGTGGCTGTCAGCATTTTTGGAATACTTACTGCAGTCCTCCTCATCGTGGACGCAAGTACCGGGGGGAAAATTAAGGTTCCCGGTGGCAAGGTTACATATGGTAGCTGGAATCCAAATGCACTATTTCCAATTTATTGTGTAAGTCGTCACAAACCTAAATTCTTCCACATGTCATCTCTGCAGTTGACTTCACATTTAAGTCCAAGCGCAACGGCTCACTTGATATTTACACGCAGAGTACTGGCATAGCATATGGCATGGTGGAGCTTATCCGCAGGGTAATACCCAGGGACATTGTTGGAGGTGATGTTAATAAACTCAGGAGAATGGATGCTACGGTAAATCCGCCATAATCGAATTCGAATCCACCCCACACTAGACTCTGCTGACGCTTTACCCTCAATTAGGTTCATATCTTCTATGAAGTGGCAGGCACTGCAGGCGCTATAGGCACGACATATCTGGTTCTCCGCTTTGGCAACAATTACTCCTTCATCGTCACACCAATATTTTTTACCATTGCATGCTGCCTCTGGCTTTGTATTTCACCTCTTGGCTTCAAGCGACAGCTCGAGGATGAGGATAAGAGCTATCTCCAACAGGTCTCATTGGGTAATCATATGCTTTGAAATTTCATTCATTCTAAATGGCGTAGTTAGGTTGCTTACATCTTTTGTAATGTTTATAGGAGCATTTCATTTTTGTCAGTCACTATATAAAGGGGGCAGTATCATCTGTTCCTCTCGGAAATTCTTCTGGTTACCATTCGGATATTCTGTTGCTTTATACGGTACTTCTTCATTGTTTTCCTTTTCGGGATTTAGTTTGAGCAAGGCTAATTGATATCGATGTGTATATAGGGCATCGCTTCCTCGAGTCTGGTCTAGGGCCAATCATCGCACGTCGTGTCTTTGATGTGTCTGCATATTCACAAATCCTTGTTGGAGGGTCGAACCTGGGGGAGTTGATTGGAGCCGTGATAGTATTCGTATTGAATGATATGGTGCCCACACCTTTGCCATGGCTCAGAGCTGATGCCCTTCTGCTTCTTATTACTTGGGTGTAAGAGTTCCATCACATGCGTGCTAGATTTTGTGCGGTCCTCAGGCTAACCGAGAGTATAGGATCCCTTTTTATAAACCTCGCAAGCACAGTCTGGCAGATGCATGGAAGCTAGCATTTGTAAGAAGATTTGAACCTCTTAAGAGCTTTGCATGTTGAGCTAACTCATCCATTTGCAGATATTTACGCCAATCTCTCTTGGTTGGGCTGCTGGTGATGTCTCCCTTGCCGCGTACATTCAGGCATGTTTGGCACGAGAAGAGAAAGCAGATCCCAACGTCTCGGCCCTCGGTGCTGTCATGGTAAGCTTTGCCTTTCCCCCAATGCCCTTTCGTAGATGTTTAGTAATTGACGAAATACAATCGTACATTCTTAGGCATTCCTCTACTCCACTTATATAGTCATCTACGCCATTTCTCAACCACTTCTCGGCCGATATGTCGATAGGGTCTGGACTGAGAAGAAGGATGTTCATCCAGCGCTTATGAACATCGCCGGAGTACAATTCACGATCTTGAGTGCTGTCCTACTTCTGAGTACTTTCGTCCCTCGAGGCGCCTTCTCACTCAACCCAAAACTTCTATTTGGGCAGGACCTTACCGGGGACATCGAAGGCACAAACGACAAGATGAAGGATATTGAAGGGGAGGGATTGGAAATGAGTGATGACATCGCGATCGAGAAGCAGAAGAAAGCTCAGATAATATCTGATTCACATAAGGATGGAAATCTTTCACGTCCTGAGCAGACGGAAATTAGAAGGATTTCGTTTACAGAAGATGATGTTGCGGTCGATCTTGCGGATGCTGTCAAGGGCAGGAATTAGGGAGGATTTGGATGTTTTATGGGTTTTATGTGTGCTGTATTTTTGAATGCGTGGGTCCGATTGCACCCTGCTACTGTTATTATATATAGCGCTTGAATTTTGGATTGCGATTTTACGATAAGGATGGGCATTATTCACTGTAGCTACCCATGTAACGAAGCTGGAATCGATGCTACAAGAATTGAACACAAGTTTCCATATCTACTAAATTCTAGAAATCTATCATTGGCTTATTTCAAAAGTAAAGTCCAAGGTGGATCGCAATTCATATTACAGATTACTCGAGCTCAGCTTTTAAGCATATCTACAAGGGAGATCAGATGATAGTGGTTTTGTGTGCAAACACCTAAGGCGTCCGCTATTATCCCTGGTCATTCCTGCTTGTATGTAACTTCCATAGAAGTAGGAAGGGTTGTCCTAAAATGTGACTCCCAACTCAAAACATTGATATTTTGGCGAGCTTTACGATTGGCGTTTGATACAATGGCGTCAGTGCGTCGTAGGAGAATATTTGAGATGACTTTCATCGCCTCCCTTTGTGGTGTAGTTGGTATCACACTGGACTGTAATAGCTGTTTCAGATCATCCATTGGTCACCGGTTCGACTCCGGTCGAAGGGACGTTCTTTTTGATGTTTTTTAACTTGTATTCGAATGCTATTTCCTCGTATCAGATAATTCGCGTTCACATCGCTCGAAGGTTCACGGGAAGATCAATATCAGGGTAATTGAAGCGTCATGTTTGTTTTGCGAATCAGACAGACTGCTCAAGATAAAACTAAAAATACATATCGTACACTCAAAGAATTGCAAGATCATTATGCAAACTTCATAATAAAGAAGCGAAAATCGCACCAACACCAATAAAAAATGTCGAGACTAAATCAAACAAACTACCTATCCTCTCATACCTCTCGCTTCACAACAATTATATCCTATACATGTGTTCTCCACACAGAACCTAATCCAGATACATTTAGTAGACGGCAGGGACGGTGTGCATTGGCATCCTGTGCTGTTGCTGTTGCTGAACAGGAATTCTTCTATCGGCACCACCAAAGACACTTGATGGCTGTTGCTGCTGAGTGGGTGCGGTGTAGTTCTGAGTTGGCTGGTGCGCAGTCTTCATGGGGTTGTATTGGGGAACTCCGAAGCGGGTCGTCTTGGCCTGTAATTTGGCCGATTGTGGTTGGGATTGGATTTCACGCTGGCGTTGGAGGTACATGGTGTACATGAAGAAGCCGGCGGTGACGAGGACCATGAGCATTAGGTTATCTAGAAAAAGTGAAAACTCGTCAACAGCTTGTTCAATTGTAGTTGGGGAATATGTGGAGGAGTGATCTAGATGTAGATCTAGACGTACTTATGATACCCTCTGCAAACGCCTTCGTAACGTCAAATACACCATAGATGATTGAGCTGAAGAACCCAGTGATCCCGCCGAGGACGTAGAATACTGCTCCGACGGAGTGCTTTCCGATCGAGAAGATGGATTCGACGAAGTTTGTGATGAGGTGGGTGATGAAGCTGGCTCCATTCGAGGCTACTGATGTGACCGTCATGATTGCAAAATGGGCGATATGTTGGAGAAGGGTTTGTTTAGTTGCTTGTGTGCTGGGCTCGGAGCTCACGTTCAGGTGATATAGCTATTAGAGTAAGATGAGATACCTAGAGGAGAATATGGTATTCGTTGTTGTTGGCTATCGAATTCAGTAGACGTGCGTGTTCTCCCTGATGATGATGAATATTGTGATAGTGCTCGGAACGGAAAGCTCGGGGTTATATACAAACTACATCTCATACAAACAAACAAGAACCTCTCCCATCAAGCGATTCCTGTTCTCTCAAGGTGCCCGAATCCTGTCGAGAGGGTGGGGTGGGCATTGTTCATCGCTTGTTTTAGTACAATCAAGTTTATGTGTTTAAACAAGTTAACGTTAGGTTAACAAGCCACTTTGGACCGCAAATCAGGCTTGCCTGAGACAGCTGGAGTAGCGGTTTGATTGCAAGTTCGAAAAGTCAAATTCACAACCGGTTCCTGATTCATGTTTCTGACAGAATTTAGACGTGGAGGGAGTGGCTTTGGTTGTATATGTGGTCGAAGTCATACATCCCTGGTTACTAGTTCCAGGTTGAAGACACCGGGAATAGCATTCAATAATCCTCCGTGAGCCGAGAATATGCTGAACACTCGACGGAGCCTTTGAGTATCGAACCGGACTCTGCATGATAAAAACTTGTGCGAGTGATTGCAATTACCTTGTATACACAGTTTTTCGAAGCAGGCCTAGTTAAGAAGAGAAAACCTTTTCCTCATATAGGATAAGTATTAGTATATTTTCTCTGGCGTATACAAGAATCGATACATGACTTGAATCTCTGTTTGTGTGTGATTCTTACATTTCACCAGAAACTTCAGATCCGCAATTTTGAAAGTCCGATACCAAAACCGGGAAACCGCCGTGCCTATAGTTCTCGACCACTCATAGATGTCTTGGCACCGCCACACCCAGCCAAATTACTTGTTGTGGCGACCCTCCCAGGCTCAAGGTTGTCGATTAGCCCCACACCAATGGCAACGCGATGTTCAAGTGATGTCAGAAAACGTCATTTTGGAACACTGGGGCGTGGACGACACGAGGAACACCGACGTCGACGTTCTAGCGGAGGATGATCTCCCACAAACCAAACTAGAGCAAGTCAATGGTTAAGCCGCGACGTCACAGGACTCGAGTTTGTGGATTTACGTAGGAGCTGGAGAAGCTTAGCTTCACCGTGACGGTTTTTGAGATTCTAAAGTTGATAAAACAGACAAAACCTATTGTGATCTTGGCGCGGGCACGTGGACAAGAAAATTCCATGGCTACCTACCCACCTACCAATCCTAGCCTCATTGCCTTTTTATTATAGAAAATTTCTGGTTGTTGGGCGACAACATATATACCCAATCTCTCATGCATTTTATTCTGCCGCCTCCAAAACACGATCCAACCTTTATTACTTTATATATTTTGCAAGTTCTGGCCTCTTCCCCCTTCCCCATTGCCGAAATGGGAAATACCTAATTCGGCAGTTACTTAGGGTGCTGCTTGGATATGACTTGTCCGGGTACAGACGGCACTCGGTATAAGCATTCATACTGGAAATAGGCCGGCCAGTTCACCTGGGTAACGTTAAAAGCATACAGACTCGCCATGCAAAAAATATGCTTATATCGACCCTTCACCCAACAAAAAGACTACAGATGACTGCCGTGATAAAGGATTTATACTTATATCAAGATCGGCAGCTTTGCAGCGATATAGCATTTTGGGACTGCCGCATGGCGGGACAAACGTCGAAAAACTCAAAGGCGTTGGTGATTTCTGACCAATGCGATATGAGCACCTTTGTGGGGCCAGACTGTTTTCTACTCTCAATTGTGTATATTAATTGTCCTCAGACTTGGAACTGTACAGAGGAACCGAATTTCTCAGGACATTGTATACTACCTGGCCCCACAAAGGTGCTTGTTTTGCATGCAAATCTGCTCAATGATCAGCGATCGCATTGCATTAATGCCTCGAAATGACAATCAACGCTTCTTGAGTTTTTTCAACGTTTATCCCGTCATGATACCCAGCTCGCCATATGGGGATCCCGGGATATCTCTAAACCCATCCCACCTCACGCGTGGTGAATATATATGACAAGAATTAAATGGAGAGTAATTATCATAACTAGATGCCGTTGAAACATCTGGGATTGTGGGTGGGTACGTACACATGTGGCATTAATTGGGATAGGTATCTACAAGCGGGTACATATATTAGTAAATACGAGAGGTCATGAGTAAAATGAGACAGAGGGACAGTACTTGACATAAATGGTTGGCTACATGCTTGCAAGAGGGAAGGGACTGCAGTTCAAAAGTTCTTCCCTTCAACCACATCTCGAATGGTACAGTCATGTTTCAAAAGTCTTTGTGATGGTGCCCAAAGCTGGCATACTAATCCGCGTCTGGAATGGCGGTTCTAGGCACAGATTGAAAGCACTTACAAATGATGGTATCTATCTCTTGACAAATGTCTTGAAATGCGCTGAGGAAAATATATCATTTACTCCGGGATATATTCCATGACATATGAAAATTTCAACCGTATTGGCCGAAAACTGGTGGAGCTGTGAATTTTGAAAAATGGCCACTTTTTACGTATTTGGCTGTGATCCTGGTCCATCACGAAGACTTTTGAAACATGACTGTATGTATAGATCTATAGATCGATTGATTGATCTCTTTTACGGTGTACTCTACTCTACATCCAGGGTATGTGGGTACGAGTACTTCGCCACCCTGCGCCCCACGAAAACCAGCTCTCCCATACGCGTCGAATATATTTACAGAGGCAGTACTGTGTTGTGTTCCGTATGATCAAGACCGTATCTATCTACTCTAGTCTGCCCCAAGCAGAGCACCCGAGTCTAGAGTACTCGGGTACCCTCCTGAAGTGACGGAAAATACAAGGGGGGGTCTTCTGCGCCTGCATTGCAGAGCCAGCTGAGCAACAGGAATCAAGATCTGGACTGCTGCGTTTTCCAGCCAGTGTCTGGAGGCACTATTTTCAGTGGTATCTTATGCTTATGCAATAGAAGAAGCCAACTGGTCGAATCGTCAGAGAAGGCAAAGATATTCTCTGCCATGCACATGCATGCACAAAAAATCCCGGCCATTTTTCCGTCATTTCAGGAGGGTAAAGGGTACTCGAGTATTGCGTCCAAAAGTACGATCAGGGTAGGTACTCAATCGCGATATTTAATCTTTTCTATGCGCCTTGGTAGGTAGGTACTCGAGTATACGTACCTACTATTCTGTACTAGGTACATACCTCCTCCTCCCTCAGCACTCACTCACTCACAGTGGCCAATTAAAGACCGAAGGCTAGGACTGTATGTTCGTCTAGGAATCAAGGAACTAAGTAGAGGCATCGAATTTTCCTTTCCGATCGATCGGTCAATTTTTCTGGGACAAAGCACCGACCAAAAGCGGTAAGAGCAGAGTTTATGATCATTACCATATTAGGTAGTCGTGGGGTGTCTGGGGTATACACGCTAACCAGCAATTGCACGTTATTGGTACCTTTTTTTTTGCTTTTATTTTTTCGCGGGATTTGAGGGAGGGAGGGGGGGGGGGGGTACAGACAGTACTTTTATTGGTTTGTTGGCAATTGGCTCCGATGCGTACAGTCAGTCCATCGGGGAATGGCAGTTAGGTAGCTACTACTCATGGGTACTCGATCCTCGATCATAATGTTTTATACATTTACTCGAGTACGGGCATTACGTTCATGGTGAACACACTCCTTATATCAAGTGGAGTTGGAAGTCCAGAAGCCCGCTAGCTATGTACTGTACTCGAGTGCTTACCTACTCTAAAGTAGACCCATGCAGTCGATCACCAGTGAATACGAGCTGCACATCGGTATGTACATCTGAGACTTCCTCTCAAAAGTACCCCACTCCCTTAGGGCCGAGCCAGTTGAGGTCTTTTCTCATTGAATTGAAGTGCATGCCGTACACGAAGTATACGTACGTGGCAAGCGGTAGAGTGCTGTTCAGGCACGAGTGCAACTGTATGGAAAGTT